GACGTTTCCAAGCCACTTGCAGCTTCTGCAGACCACGGTCTGCTCTGACACCTGCCTTGTCCCACCTGTCCCCACCCGCCTGGGCTTACCCGCGTGACTCAGCTAATGCAGGGCGAATGGGAAATTATCTGACCTTTATGGGCCTCTTTTTCATATTAAAATGCTGGAGCTGTAGAGGCCGTCACGGGAGCTCGTTCGTCTTGACAAACGAACAGCCATAACTGACCTGGGCTGGCGGGACAGCCTGTGAGGTGGGCGCCTGCCGAGGGGGTGAGCTCCAGCGCTGGGCAGGCCGCCCTGCCAGGCCAGCGTCTTTGCTGGTTAAGGAGAGGGTTCCCAGGACGCGAAAGAGCGCACTTGGGGTGGCCTTGGAGCAGAGAGCGGGCAGAGGGCGCCCAGAGGCCAGTTCAGCGTGGAGAGGGAACCGGCCGGGGAGCGTAGTTGGGGTGCTCGGGAAGGGAGCCCGCCTCCGACTGGGCGAGGTGGAGGGACCCTGCCCGGCAACCCTGTTTGTCACATTCCTCCCAGAACCACAGGGACCAGGTGCTGGGACTCAGGTCCTCAAGTCTCAGTGCTCGGGGCCCTGGGCCTGGCGGGTTTCCCAAGGGCCTGGCTTGGGGGACCTGGGGCTTCCTGAAGAGCTGCCGGGCACCAAACCCTGGGCCGGGGTTCGGATTCAGCTGTGGGCTGGTGGACGTCAGGCGCTTCCTTGGTTGCAGGGTCCACGGGTGCACTGGCGGCCCGGGAGGCACTGTGGGCCCTGGGGACCTGCGGGTGCGTGGACTGCCCGGTGGCAGGCTGTTTCTCCCCTGGGAACCCGGTGTTGACCCAGGTCCAAGCAAGCCCTCCCTGCCTGCTGTCCCCCTCCTGCTTCCTGCCCCTTCCCCTTCCTGAGTGAAAACCCCCAAGGTGGATGGACAGGACTCTCCAGCGTCCCCAATCTGCAGTCTCTAGTCCTGACCAGACGCGAGGGCGCAGAGCCGTGGACACTGGCACTCGCAGGACACACGGGTGCAGAGGCAGGAAGTCCCCAGAGGAGCAGAACCCCTGGAAACTCGGAGCTGGTGCAGTGACACCAGAACCCGACGAGGGCCACCGTCACCCACACAGCACAGGAGCCCTGTGGGCAGAGCGGCGGAGCACACGGAGAGCCCGCAGAAGGCCGGCACGCCTGGCCTCGACCCCGGTGGGCTGGACTGAAGGAGGCCCAGCTCCTGCCTGCCCCCCACCCCTGGGGCTGTGTCACAGGCAGGCCAGGGCCGGCAGGCAGGGCCTGTGCACACATGGCCTTGTGGAAGAGGGGGACTCACTGGGGACAGTGTCCACGGTACCAAGGAGACGCCTCCCACAGCCCCGCCTCTTCTCAGCGAGAGCGTGGGCAGGGCTGAGGTGACCGACCTGCTCTCCTGCCTGCACCTCCCGCGAGGAACCTAAGCCACCCCGCCTGCGACGCCCCTCCGCGGCCGGCCGTTTGGGGTGTTCTCTGAGTTGCACACTGAGCTCCCCTCCCTGGTGTCCAACGTGCGTTTCCGGTCAGTGTGGAGGGCTTGGAGTCACGGGCAGGTGGCCAGCTTGCAGGATCTGTCAGCAGGCAGGGGCGGGCAGCACCCATCCCCCTCTGGAGAAGGGGCTCTGCGGCCGAGACCCTCTGCTCTGTCACTGGGGCGTTGGTGAGTTCTCCTGGGCGTGCAGAGATCCTGGGTGGAAGGGCGTGAACGCGTTTCTCACAGCTTTGTCGAGGCGTGATCGACACCGCGGGTCATGACAGTTGGTGCTGGGGTTTGGGTCTTGAATCCCCCCAGAGCCCGTGGGTTGGATGCCTGGTCCCAGCCTGTGGTGCCACTGGGAGGTGGCCCAGTGGAGGGGCTAGGTCCTGGGCGGGCCTTGAAGAGGATCCCGGGACCCCCAACACCTCTCACCTCGTTTCCCGGGTGCCCGAGTTGAACTGCCCTCCCCTGCTGCCCCCGGCTGAGTGACCATGGACTGAAGCCCTTGAAACTGGGAGCCAAAATAAACCCTTCGTCCCATGCAGGTGGGCACCCCAGGTGTTTTGTCACGGCAGCCGAGAGCTGGCTGACGCGGAGCGAGCCTGGAAGCTGGGCGTAGTGACCTGTGGGCCATGCGCCCGGTGGCACGCGTGGAAATGCCTTCACGCCAGAAGCCCCCTCCTGCTCTTGGACTCCATCCCTCCCCCAGCCTCCCGCTGTCCTCCACAGAACTTTGAACTGTTTTCTGTCACTTTGGACTGTATTTTCCAGAATTTTGGATAAATGACGTCATACCGTATCTCCCTTTGGGGGATCAACCAACCTCCCTCTCTCCCTCCCTCCCTTCCTTCCTCTTCCTCCCTTCCTTGTTTTTCGTTTCTTTTTCTCCCGTGCTGGGGTGGGGCCCGGGGGACGTGCCAGGCCAGCCCTCCTCCATGGGCCTGCTCCGGTCACTGCCGCGCGCTCTCCACCCTGGGGACAAGCATGGTCTGTCCTGCCAGAGCTCGCGTGGACTGTCTCTGGCTCAGGCGTAGCAAACACAGCTGCTTCAAACCCTCCTTTACAGGTCCCCGGGTGGACAGGTGCGGAGAGCAGAGCAGGCTGTGAAGCAGCTCAAGAGCCCGTCCACACAGGGGACCTTGCTTTTATTGAGCTGTGCTAGTTCTTCCCCTTCTCCCCTGTGAATCTGGGTTTGATTGGCACTTTGATTGACAGCTATATTGGATCAATTTCCTTCCTCTCCCTGCAAAATGCACAGGAGGAGCACCCTGCAGTACTGATTCGTTAACTAGCAACAAGTCAACCTGAGGTTCACCCCGCCACGATCAGGACATGCCCTTTAGGGGCTTGGGTCCCCCTTAAGGTCACCTGGTTTCTTCCCTGTAACTGCATGATGGCTCCTGTTCCCTCACAGAGGGGGCTTCGAGTGGCATTGGGTGGGGCCATAGCCCTCCCTGATGCCCTAGCCCTGCTAGGAATGGAGGGACTGAGCCTTGGGACATGCCATGTCCATTCAGGCTGCTGTCCAGGCACTGCGCGGCGAATGTCTGTCGTGGACTTCCTCCCGGTTCCAAAGCCAGAATGTGAGCTCAAGGTACCAGCTCATCAGGTTCCTTTGAGGGCTCTTCCTGGCTTGCAGACGGACCCCTTTGTGTGTCCTCAGTGGAAGAGACGAGGAGGCAGAGAGCAGCTCTGCACCTGCCGAGGCACCTGTGCTAATCGCCTCCCAGAGGCCCTGGCTCCCCGGCCTCACACGGGGACTGGGGTCCCCATAGGAGCCGGGGCAGATGTTCAGCCCATAGCAGTGGGCGTCCAACTGTGAGAAACTGCTGGACGGTCTGCAAGGTGACAGGAGGCGTGCGTGGCCCGGGGGTGGACGTGAGCGCTCCGCTTGGTCGGACTCTTCTTTCAGCCGTGTGAACAGGCGTGCACGGTGGCCTGGTGGTGGGGTGATTAAATCATGGAAAGTAAAGCGCATTTCCCTGGTGACGATGCTCGGTGTCGTTTCATCTACCAGTTTCCCACCAGGGTGTCTTCCTCAGTGAAGTTCTACTCAGGTCTTTGGCTCATCTGTTACATGGGTTGTTTAGATTGTTGAGTTTGAGGGGTCTCGGGACATCCTGGCCCAGCGGGTGACTTGCCTGGTCGAGTGGGTGCCCCCCCACCCCCGTGTGGGGCTTGAGTTTGCAATACACTTTCCACCTTCAGGAGTTTTGAAGTTTGCTTTATTGTTTCTTCTGTGAACTCTGCTTCTGCCACCTCTGTGCCTCACCCAAGCCCCAAGGGCTCCTCTTGTGTTCCTTCTGGAAGTCTCTAGTTTTTGTCTTTATATTGGGGTCTCTGAACAGTTTTGTGTGGTTGTCAAGACATGGTCTGGGGGTGAGTGGGGTTCTTTTTGTTTTCATTGTGCTCTTTATTCTGACACTTGGAGACGGTTCCGTCCCCACTAAGCTAATTGTCTTGGCCACCTTTTCAGAAAGAGAATTCACGGGGTGTGGATGCGTCTGGGCGTCTCGTTCCTGTCCACCTGAACGCTGGCTCCACCTGCAGTCCGTAGCTGCCTGGAGGTCTCAGCCAACAGCGTAGTCCTTCCCTTGGTGGTTTTCATTTGTTTACAATTGTTTAAAATAATTCCATATGTATTTTCAAGTCATCTCATGGATTTCTACCAAGAAAAAGGCCTGTTGTGAGATTCTGATCGGGTCGTATTAGGTCTGCTGACCTGGGGAGAGCTGACGCCTTAATGGTCATCTCTGGTCCATGGTCAGGGTGTATCTCTTCCTTTACTCGGGTCTTTAAATTCCCCTGCAGTACTTGGAAGATCTCTGTCCAGTGTCACCTGCTGTTGGCTAATCCGCCCGCCCGGCCTTTCTCTCTGATTTGCCCGGGGCAGTTCCTCTCCTGTCTGCCCACCCCGATGTCCACTCTGCTGCTGTTGCCATCCTGTGCCCTTGGCTGCGATGAGCCGGGAGGGGTGTCACAGCCCACCAGGTCATCCCTATGTACCTAGGGCTATGTACCTAGGGATATGCACCTAGGGCTGGGGAACATGCCTGTGTTTGGGCCCCTGACCCTGGTTCAGAGCCTCCTGGGAAAAGACTGTCCTGTGGCGTCGGCCTCGCCCTGGCAGATGGTGACCACAGCGCTGACTGGACCTGAAGAGGGTGGGCTGGGTTCCCTGGGGAGGGGGTGGGCGTTCCAGGAGTGGTTCACAAAGATACAGGGACGCTGGAAAATCCCGCAGGTGTCCCTTAGTGAAAGTGGCCAGCGTCTTGAAGGGAAGCGGGCGAGGCCGAGGGTGGTGTTTCCTGGGCTGGTCTTTTCCTTTCTCCATTTTCCGATATTCCTTGAATGAAGTTGGACGGCTTTTGTGATTATGAATCTTTAAAAATTTTAAAAAAAAGAAAAGAAAAGGAAGAGCAGGTCCTGCTGCCGGAGCGTCCCCGGGCGGGCTGGGGGGCCGGGTGGGCCGGGCGGGCTCGCCCTGCGCTGCCCACGCCCTCTCTCTTGCAGGCTTTGGGAACCATCACTGCAGTGCCTGTCTCGGGTCCTCAGGTCAGCTCCCTGCAGAGGTTGGCGGGGCAGGGAGCGGCAGTGCTACCTCAGGTAAGCGCCCCGGGGCCTGGCCTGCTGGCTGTCCCACTGCCCCAGTCCCCAGACCCTGAGCCCTGCTGTCTGGGTCCCTCCCTCTGGTGGCCCCTCCTGCCTCCCCTGCCTGTTGGTTAAAGGACACTGGGGACCAGGTCTTCACATGGTGGGGCCAGTTTTTCAGAGAAGTTAACGAGGTAATTTAGTGTTCAATAGGAGAAGCCAGGCCAGACCAGGTGGCCTAGACAATGTCCGGGTGTGCCGCAGCAGCGTTTGCTGACTAGTGGCTTCTGTTCTGGGTCACAGTCAGAGGCGTTTGGGAAGCATCATCAAACCCTGCCCCAGCGTGGCTGAGCACTTGCTGAATACACCACACCCACCAGGGGCCGTGGGCTGCAGAGGTGACCCCAGCCCCTGCCCGTCCTGGGCTCGAGGAGGCAGAGGGGCAGCTGCCCTGGGCTCTCATCCCCATGGCAACGTTCCCTGCGTGCCCACCTGTGCTGGTCCCTGGGGCCCTGCCCCCGAGAGGCTCAGGGTCTCAGGAGAACAGGCCCCTGGACCCGGGTGATCAACCTGGTGGGGAAGATGCACAGAGCTGGAGGCCCTGAGGTGGCCTGTGCCCACCAGGGGATCGGGAGGGCTCCCTGGGTGGGGGGTTGAACCAGGCCTCAGGGTGGGAGGGTGCTGCAGGGGCAGGGGGAGGGGGAGGCAGGTCCCAGAGAGAGAGCACCCAGGAGGCGCAGGTGAGGAACTGAGGCCGGGCGGTGGAGAGGCCAGAGTCCGTCTTCCTGGCCCTGAGAGGGGAGGCTGGAGTGAGCTGGAGGGGAGAGGCTAACGGGCCATTGGGGGGCTTGGGGTGGGGCCACGGCGCTGTCCCCACAGTGCCTGTCCACACTGGGGAGCTGTGCGGGGCTCGGGGGAGGGTTGGGGTGGGGGACAGGTCTGGTGAAGGCTGGGGCTGTTCTCTGGGGGCTGACACTTCAAGCACACCCTCCCTGTGAAAGTTGGGGCTGACACTCTGCGGCCCTGGCGGAGCCCCTCGTGTTGCGGGGTGGGGAGGTCTGGTTGGCTGAGGACCCACCATGGCAGGGAACAGCAGGGCCACCAGACCCAGGACACAGAGAGGCACAGACATGATGCCCACCTGACCAGCCACACCTTGGTGACCTGCCCCCCAGGTCCAGGCCTGTGCAGGAGCTGCCCTGACCCTTCCTCCATGTGTCCCTAGAGGCAGGCGAGGGGAGTCCGAGGGCCAGCACCATGCTGTGGCCTTCTCTCATGCTGCCCAGGCCCCAGTCCTGGGCTCAGGTCGCACTGCCCAGTGTGACAGCACCACATGCGGATGTTCCCCAGGCCCGGCTCCCCCGTCCGTCCGTCTCCCCGTCTGTGCCTCGGCCTCCTCCCCTGGGAGTAGACAGACACCTGCTGTGGCCTGGCTGTATGGGGCTCAGTCACGATGGACAGGTCACATCCCTGCTGCAGGCCCCTCCTCTGCGTCTCCAAGGAGGTGATCCCAGTGGACCTCCTGGGGCTGGGGCCACCTCGGCTGTGGGACAAAGAGAGGGTTCAGGTTCACTGCTGGGGGCTGATGGTGGGAGGGCAGGTGATGGAGGCTGGTGACAGCTGTCACGTGTGTACCTCCTCTCACTACTCCAAGTCACAGGGAAGGGACTCAACCCAGGGACATTGAGTGTCCCCTAATCCACCCAGGTCCAGGAGGACCAGGATGGCTGCAGAGGACCTGACTGGAGCCTTGCCCTGGGCCACGTGGCAGGCGCCTGCCGCTCGCCATCATCTCTCCTGTCCCCAGACTACTCGGGGTGACCGAGGTGCCAGTTAGTGGCACAGTTCAGTGGCCCCAGAGGAGCCCAGCAGAGTCACCCGGCTGAGAAGCAGAGAGGAGGGCACAGTTGCAGGCCTGCTCCCGACCAGAGGGGACCTGGCGGCCTGGAGCCACCTGCACCTGCTCTCCCGCTTCCCACTCCCTCCTCCCTATCCTCGGTGTTCGCTCGTGGGCTGGAAGGAGCCTGCTGGGCCAGAGCGGCTCCCTCTGTGGTCACTGCCTGCCCAGTCAAGGCAAGTGGTGGACAGAGAGCACCAGGAGCCTCAGGGCCGAGGTCTCATCCTCCGAGAGACCCTGGGCAGGTCCTGGGCAGTTCCAATGGCCTCCACTCCCCTCCAACATGGGACATCTCAGAGCCAGGGCTGCTGGCTACTGCTGGGCCTTCATCACCTGTGTGTCCGTCTGTCTGTCTGACCGTGCACCTGTCCCTCTCTCCCAGGTTAGGCCAAAGACTCTGATTCCAGACAGCCTCCCCGTCACCCCGGGCAGGGACCGGCCACCCAAGCAGCCCCCAACATTCCAGAAGGCCACTGTGGTCAGCATCAAGAACCCTAGCCCAGCCCTCCCCACCGCCAACAACACCGTCAGCCATGTGCCAACGCCCGGCGGCCAGCCCCAGGCCCTCGCCGAGCCCACTGCCATCGCCTCGCCCCTGAGCAGCGCCGGGGTGGCCTATGCCATCATCTCCACCTCCCCCAGCAATGCTGCCGCCATCGCCCCCAGCACCGCCGTGCCCGTGGTCAGCGAGAGCCTCCAGGTGCAGCCCCTCCTCATCAGTGCCGACAGCAAGGTGAGTGCCCCCCAGGCCGGGGACCTGCCCACTTACGTGAGGCCTGGGGACACGGCCACGTGGCCACACGCAGAAGGCCCCAGGCAGGAGGGACTGGCTAGCGGGTGGCCGGGTGGTCAGCGGATGAATGGATGTGTGTGGAGGGTGTGTGGGTGCAGGGAGGTGACGTCACGCAGGGGACACAGGGCCAGAGTGACCAGGTGTGATGGCAGGAGGAGGCCCACTCCACAGGCTGTGGACCAGCCAAGGGGACGGAGGAAGGAAGTGAGGCTGCGTGGGTCGGCCAGGGCCGAGAGCCACTGGCCCACGCGGCAGTCACCGGGTTCATGGGAACCACTGATGGAGCCCGGGATGCTGCCCGTCCTGCTTTCCACACCCTGGTGCCTCGGCAGGACATGTCCTGTGGCTTCTCACCCAGGTTGAAAGCTGAACTTGATGTCCTCTCCCGGTTCCCCTCGGAGCTCCTGGTGGCCGTGCTGTCGGAGGCCTCTGGCCTCTTGGCCTCCCATCCCTTGGAGGCCTCTGGCCTCTTGGCCTCCCATCCCTTTGCCAGGCTGTGCCTCTGGCTCTGGGCTGATGCCCGTGGCGTCCCCCACATGAGTTGGTGCCATGTGGCCAGGGAACCCCGTCGGTGCCTACGTCCATTTCAGAGCTCATTCTGTTCTGGGCCCTCCCCCGACTGGCAGGACCCTCAGAGCCTGGAGTGGTGGTTGCCATGGACGGCTGGTGTCCCCAGGTGTCCCCCAGTGTCCCCGATGCAGACGGCTGCCTGGTGGACGTTCCCTGCCGCCTCTGTCTCGCTGCGGCCCGCCGACGTGAGCGCTGGGCTGAACGCCTTCCGCTCCTTCAGTCGGCTCTCGGGCCTCGCGGTCGAGTCTTCTGATGACTGAGCCCAGCGTCGTCCTGTGACCTCCTCGGGGCCGCTTTACGGCAGTCTCTCTTTCCTGCAGGAGAGTTTAATATTTTCCTTCCCTTGAACATAAAATGAGGCATTTTTTCCCCTATTCAGGAAATTTGGGGTTTTAAAAAATGTGATACGTAGAACAAAGAGCTTCCCCTGAGCCAGCAGAAAACAGAATACATCTCTCTTCCTGCTCAGGAGCCAGACTCCTAAGAGTCACCGTGTTCTCAGGGAAATAAAAGCCAAAGCAATTCAGGTGGTTGCGGCTGAGCCGGACCCTGGGGGCTGGCCTGGTGAATTCCTCTTCCCTGACCCAGGAGCCACGGAAGACAGCGAGCTCCCAGGCCCTGGCCCAAGTAAACAAAACAGCAGCAACGCCAGGGGCCGAGTCCCCCCCAAGGCTGGCCGACGTGGTGCCCGGGCAGTGCTGACCCCGCTGCCCCTTCCCCAGCCCCCAGGGGCTTGGCTGGGCCTCTCAGGGCAGAGCCCTGCCCCCCTCAGAGGCAGTGGTCTGAGGAGGGTCGAGGGAGGAGTGAGACGCTCTGGGCCTCCATTCATTGGCATTTGAGCTAGGGATGGAGACCACCCTCCCTGGAGTCCTGTGGCCTGAATCCTCACAGCCCACCCTGAGGTAGGCATTGCCAGGGCCCACCACAAGGAGGCTCGGAGAGGCACAGTGACCTCCTCAGGGCCACACAGCTAGGAAATGGTGGGACAGGGTTCGAACCTGGCACCTCCTGCTTCAGGCCCGGCACCTCTCCTGCAGGACTCTTGTGCTCAGGGGAAGCTCCGTCAGAGGTGCAGGCCCAACTCAGGGTGGGTGCAGACGCTTCCTCCTCTGTGACCTGCCCTTCAGGTTGCCCCTGGGCCCTCCGCCCCCCTCCCCCAGCTCCTCCCCCCTCCGTGCCCCTCACCCCTCACCCCTGCCCCGTCTTGTAGGTCATTATTATTCAGCCTCAAGTGCAGTCGCAGCCGGAGAGCTCGGCAGAGCCGCGGCCGCCCACAGAGGAGCCATCTCAGGGAGCTCAGGCCACCAGGAAGAAGAAGGAGGACCCGCCCCCCAGCCAGGAGAGCCCCGAGGTAGGACCGCCCTGGGGGGTGCCTGGCCACGGTGGGAACAGCATCACCTGGGGTTGGTCCCTACCTGCCATGGCGTGGCCGTCCAATGCGGGGGTCAGGGGACTGCTGCCGACTGGAGACTCGGGTCCCTGGGATGCGCTGGTGGTGTGGCAGTGTGGGGCAGTGGTTGGCACGGGTTCTGGTGCCATTGATTCAGCCCGAGCACCGGCAGCGGGCTCGGCAGGACTGCAGGCAGATCACGTGCGTCTTCTCATCTCTCCGGGGAGGAATGAGGCCCCCTTCCTGGGGGGCTGGAGGATGCTGGGTTGTCAGGCAACCCCCCCCGCCCCCCCGATCAGGAGAGGTGCCCACTGTCCCCAGAGCCCCAGCCATGGCCCTGCTGTCCTTGGGACCTTTAGCCTAGGAGAGGATGGGCTCCTCTGGGTAGCACGTGGGGCTAGCTCAGCCCCTGCCTACTCTCTGCCCATGACCAGAGCTGAGGGTCGGAACTGAATCCTGGATGACCTGCATACAGGCTGCCAAGATGGGGCTTTGTTCCTCAGGTACTGGGGAGCCACGGAGTGTCTTTGAGCAGGGGAGTGATTTGAGGTGCACAGAAAGCCCCTGAGGTGGCTGCTCAGTGAGGCCTCAGTGTGACCCGAGTCTCCTGTGGCCCCGTCCCTGGTGGTCTCAAGCCACACCGTCAGTGCCCTGGCAGCATCTGAGCCCCTCCTGTGCGTGGTGAGGGCTGGCTGCCTCGCTGCCCGAGGCTCCCGGAGGTTTGGGGCTCCTGTGGTCTTCCAGAGGCTTCTCTGGGCGGGCTCTCTGAGGTCAGTTCGGATGTTCATGCAGCGACTGTGCCTTTCACTGATTGTGTCATTGCACCCAGTGACACCGAGGTGTGAGGAGTGTGAGCTCCTCAGGAGAACCTGAGGACAACACGTCGGGGCGAAGACCCCCATCACAGCTGCTTTTCAGAGAGGGCCACGGGGCCTTGTGCCGTGGGGCTCCGCCAGACGTGGGGACGTCCCTGAGGAGTCGGCCTGAGGAGCACTCGCTGCCGAGCAGCAGCCCAAGCCCCACGAGCCGGGCGGGTGCCCAGGGCCCCTGGTCGGGGCGAGACGTTGTACAGGAGCGGGGATGGCTGTTGATGAGGCTGCCGGGCGGGGCCAGGGCGCCAGGGCGCGGCTGCAGCAGCCCAGGAGAGGCAACGGAGGACCTGGGGGAGCCCGTGACCCACAGTGATGCCTGGACCCGTCAGAGGGACACGTCAGTAACCTTCAACCCAGCGGCAGTTATGAGGAGCCGGTGACGTCGGATGGCCACCACCCGGCAGCATGGGGCGGCGACGACCTGTGTGCCCTAGGGAGGTGCTGGGTGCCAGTCGGTGCGGCCCTCGGTGGGCCACTGTGCACCAGGGGCTGTTAGCCTGCTGTCAGATGGGGACACGGGCCAGGAGTAGTGACCAGCCAAGCCGTGGCCACCAGGCCTTCTGACCCAGGAGACATTGTCCACTGTGCAGCTCTGGAGAGGCCACCTCCACCTCTGGTCGTGCAGGGCTGAGGTGGAACTGCGGGACAGTCACGCAGAACAGACTGCTGCCGGCCTCCTCCCCGCTGGGCCTCCCGGCCCTTCCTCCAGATGAAGATGGTGGTGTGGAGACCCCGCCCCTGGCCTTCCCAGGGTCTGGCGCTGGCCCCGCCCTGCCCACAGCACCCCTGAGGCATTCCGGAGTCAATGCCCTGGGGACCGGGCTGTTGGGAAGCTCCCAACCCAGTCTGCCACCCTCCTCTAGGAGTTGTGTGCTTGTCCCTCTGTCCTTCTCCCAGTCTGGTCATAAGCACGAGGTTGGCTTCTGTCTGTCCCACGCAGAGGCCAGCCTCAGAACGCAGCTGAGCCCCCTCCAGGGAGGTGGGGGACGAGGGGTAAGAGCCGATGTCCATCTGCCTGACTGTCCTCCACGGTCAAGGGCACGGAAAAAGTCATCAGTCCACCTAGAACTTGGGAGGTGTTGCTCCATGAGCCTTCATAGGAAACTGCTCCTGTGCCAACCCGGGCAACCCAGACGCAGCCTGGAACCTCGGCACCAGCATCAGATGCTGAGGAAAACTGCAGGACCAGGACGTCAGGACAGTCTAAGTCCATGCTCCAGTGACGTGTAGAACACTCACAGGTGGATGGAGAGGAGGCAGGGAGAGGAGGCAGGGAGGGGAGGAGGCAGGGAGAGGAGGCAGGGAGAGGAGGCAGGGCAGGGAGGCAGGGAGAGGAGGGACAGAGAGGAGGGAGGGGAGGCAGAGGGAGGAGGCAGGGAGAGGAGGCTGGGCAGGGAGGCAGGGTGGGGAGTCAGGGAGAGGAGGCAGGGAGGCGGCCAAGCTCTCCATCCCAGCGAGGCCCTGAGTGAGGCGGGATCACTCGGAGCCGGCAATGTGGGAGGGGAGCTGTCGGCACAGCACAGGAGGAGGGGACGGTCCTTCCTGTCTGAGATGATGGGGCAGGACCCAAGAGAAGTAGAGAAAGCCGCGCAGGCGGGGACTCTGCATGCCAGCGGGGCAGCCGGTTCATGCACCTGTCCCTCCCTGGGCCCCAGGGGAACACGGCCCCCTTCATAATAGCAACAGGAAGATCAAATGCCCAGGAATAAACATAATAAAAATGTTCAGTACCTAACTGAGGCCAAGTTCAAAACCCCTGAAGCTTAAAAAAGGACAGAGGGACCCTGGCTTTGGGTAGGAACATGATGATGTGAACTCACTTGTCCTAGGTCATTTATGATCTTAACGTCATCCCAGTACATATGCCAGCGCCCCCTCGTTCTCAGCCACCAGCAACACTTCTCAACTTTCCATGAAAAAGTAAGAGGTCATTGCGCACCAACTAGAGAGAGGGGGAGGCCAGGAGGCCTGACCACAGAAGGGACTAGAGGCCCTGCGCAGCCTGATGAGCACCCGCGCAGCAGCAGCCCCGGGGAGGCGGAGGCTAGGACAGAGTCAGCCCAGAGATAGACCTAGGCGACAGTTCAGTATTCAGTCAGCAGAGGGGAGAGGCAGCGTGCAGGGAGACGGTGTGCAGAGGGGTTGCCATCTGGGAGAAGACCGGCAACCCACGCATAATGCCCTCTGTGCCAGTCTGTATCCCAAAGGGGTCAAAACTGTAGATATAAACTATAGGCACTAAAATAATCAAGTGGCCTTACTGTGGGGCGCAGTGATGGCCCAGTGATCCCAGCACCTTGGGAGGCTGACGGGGAGGAAGGTTCAAGGCCAGCCTCAGCAGCTTGGCCAGAGAAACTCTGGTCTCAAAATCCAAGACAGAACTTGCTTTATGACCTCAGAGTCCCTGCCAGGATCCAAAGACTGCAAAAGAAAATACATACATTTTTATAAATTAACATGTCAAACAAAAGCCCAGCCTCCGGGGTGCAGGAGACCCACTCAGAGCAACCCCTGGCTGTGGGGAGAGGAAGGTGCCCGTGGAGACACCAGCAGAGAGCCTCAGGCAGGGGCCAGGGTGGGTTCACAGCCACGGGTCTCCATACAAAGCCCCTCTCCCTTGTGCTGTCCCCTGAGCCCATCACCCCATGACAAATCCCCACAGGCACTTCCTGCAAAATGCCTGACGACTCCTCAAAACCACGCAGGTCGCTAAAAACAAGGAAATCTGAGAAACTGTCGCAGTCTGGAGGTGGGAAGGGGGATGACCCAATGTCCTCTGGGATCCTGGGACAGAAGACAAACGTTGACTAGAAGTTGGGGCGGCGGGGTGTGGCCCAGCGGCCGAGTGCTGGCCCGGGCTCCATCCCCAGCACTGAGTGAAAAAGAAAAGAAAAGAAAACAGGCGGTCAAGGAGCCAGGGCCGCTAGTAATAATTACATGTCAAAACCAGTGCCGCTGCCGTGGGTGGCCCGGACAGGTGAGGGCGACGGGCTCTCTGATTCCTCTCACAACCGCCTGGGTCTCTGAAGAATCTGGAACTTACAAATAAGCCAGCCCCAAAGTCAAGTCAAAGGATGGAAATAGGACCCTGGAACATAACCGCGTCCTGTCGTGACAGATGCGCGTTCAGTCAGGGGCATGAATTGAGCGCCTGCTGTGTGTCAGGCGCTGCTGGTCACTGTGTGGTCCCACGGCCAGGCAGCTGCAAGGGCCTCGCTTGCACCTGCCCCCTCAAGTCCCCTCGGGCAGGTCAGACAGAGTCCTGTCGTGTTGAGACGCGTGCAGGTGAGCGGAGTGTCCGCACGTGTGCAGGAGACGGAGGACACGCAGGGACAGTTCGCCACTTGCTGGAGGGGACGCAGGGCTGAGACAGGGCCCGGGGAAGACGCTCGGCGAGCTGGTCAGGCGCTGGCTGGAGTGTCCAGTGCCGCTGGGGCCGAGGGTGTTCGGCGTATTGATAACAACACACAGGACGGACGAGCCACGGCGGAGCCCGGTGTGGGTGCTCGGAGCTGGCCATGCGGTCCATGCCCGCCGCTGCCCCCACAGAGCCCTCTAAATCCACCTGGGGGTCTCCGGGAGTCCCGTTCCCCGGAGCTTCCTGGGAGCCTTCCTGGCATCCGGAGCGCGGCTGTGGAGGAGGAGCTCGGGGTCGGGGTCGAAGCGGAGGCCATGTTAACCCGTCCACCCCTTTCCTTCCCACAGAAAGTCGCCTTCATGGTAGCCCTGGGCCTGGTCACCACGGAGCACCTGGAAGGTAAGGGGCAGCAGGCGGGGACTGGCCACAAGGCGGGGCGCGGGGCGGGCGTCCTAGGAAGCAGCAGGTTTGGGATGCGCCTCCCTCTAGGGAAGGCCTTTGTCCCAAGGCCGGCCTTTGTCCCCAGAGAGGAGACGGAGGAGAGATGCACTCAGTCCCCAGGCTCCAGAGCTGCGGGGACCCACTGTGGCACTTCCTGTTCCTGTGTAGACCACTGCAGGGTGTGGGTGCTGGGTGGACAGCAGCTGCCGAGCAGGGGGCAGCCTGCCCAGGGTTGGGTGGGCACCGAGGACCCATGGCCACTGTGTCTCTGTCCCTCCAGAAATCCAGAGCAAGCGGCAGGAGCGGAAGAGGAGGAGCACGGCCAACCCCGCCTACAGCGGCCTCCTGGAGACCGAGGTGGGCCCCCGGGCAGCCACCTTCCCCACCGCCTCCATCTGTCCCTCCCTCCACTCCTGGTCCAGAGTCACCTGAGGGAAAGATGCAGGAGGCCCCCGTCCTGTGCCTGCCCACTCATGACCCCACTCATGGCCCTGACACCAGGCAAGAAATGCCCCTCCTCCAAATCCACCCCAAACTCAGCACGGCCTCAATGCCCACAGCAGCTGGACGAGGTGGTGCAGAGGCTTGGAAGGCCAAAGGTCCCCCGACCCCTGGCCCCTGCCTGGCACATGCCCAGGGAGAAGCCCAGTCCAGAATGAGACTCCTCCCGTTTGAATTGAAGTCCAGATTCTCAGGTTCCCATCTCCACATTGTCTCCAAAGGCCAGCCACAGAGTCCAAGCCAGTGTCCTGAGAGACAGTGAGGTCCCCAGAGGCCAGTGTGTGGCACATGCCAGATTTGAGCTCTGCATGGTCCAGAGGGAGGGTAAAGAGAAGCCATTGCGTCCCTCCAGGGAGTGGGCCACTCTGGCCCCGTGTCCTGAATCTGTGTTTGTGGACTTGAGCTGCAGGGAGGGCTCTCCTCCAGGGCAGTGGTCAGTTCTGGCCCTGCCGCCCTCCTCACCGTCCCTCTGCTCCTGTGCCCAGGACATGCCCAAGCCTGCAGTTCCAACCCACTTACTTCCTCTTGGGTCTCCTGGGCAAGCCCTGTCCCCAGACACGGCGGCCTTTCTTTAGAAGGCCACTGAGTGGCCACTGACCACCAGTCCTGTGTGACCAGGGCCCCTTCCCTTTGCTTTGCTGGTCAGTACGACCACCTGATGCCCCGTGAGCAGAGCCTTGGCCTGGACTCCCAAGTCTGCGGCCAGTGCCACCTCTTCGCCAGTCAGCAGGCGGGCAGCCCGCCCACAGCTCCTCCTTGGCTTGGAACACGGCCTGGCCAGGGGGGAGACCAGCTTAGAGCCAGTCACTCAATTCTAGAACCATCTTCCCGCCAGAACCCCGAGGCCAGGACTGGGGCCACCCTTCTGGACGCCAGCAGCCTCCACAGCAGGGAGGCTCTGGGCTATGCACAAGGAGGCCCCTGTTGCCCTGCCTGACCCCAGAGCTAGCCGAGGGAGAGCCCAGAGGTCAGGTGGAGAGCCAACTTTGGGAGCAGAGGGTGACGGCCCCTGCAGGGCAGAGCCTGGGCAAAGCCCCCTCTCCACCGACGTCGTCAGCCCCAGCCCTGGTCTGTGTCTGCCTCTGGCCCAGGTTCCGCCTGGCGTCTGGGGCACTGGTGGAAAGCTGGGCCTGGAGGGTCCTGGGCAGGGGCAGTGGGCCCAGGAGGGCTCCAGACGAGGGGTGTTGGGTTTTGTTTTCTGTCCTGCAGAGGAAGCGACTGGCCTCCAGCTATCTCAACAACCCCCTGTTCCTCACAGCGCGAGGTGAGTGGCAGCCTGGGCTGCGGCCTCTCAGCTGCTCCGGGCACAGGGCAGGGCGGGACCTGGGGCTGGACCAGGCAGTTCCCATCCTCTGTGGCCTTGGCCTGAGCACCAGGCAGGTGGCACAGCAGAGGTGCCATTGCTCCTGTCAGAACGGGCGGGCAGCATCTCACAGCACAGGAGGCCCAGGAGTGGGGACAGGCAGCAGCTGAGGTCATGCAGGTCTCTGTCCTGCCGTTGGGTGGACAGAGGACCAGGACCTGTGATGCCAAAGGCCACCCTGTCGATAAAGGACTGAAGATCCCCCCAACAGCTCACTGCCACTGCAAGGTCCTGGTGTCAGGGACCCTTCCTCCTCATGCTCCAGGGGAGGACTCGGGCATCACTGGGCCTTGCGATACTCCCATCATGCCCTGGGGCAAGAGCCCTGCCACACTAGGCCTCAGAGAGCCCAGTCCTGACTGTGCCCCTCCAGTGCCCACTAACCTGTTCTCCGCCCTTCCTCCCTGTGCCAGCCAATGAGGAGCCCTGCTGGAAGGTACGTGCCCTCACATTCACACCTGGGGGTGGGTGTCTTCCACACAGTCCCGGTGGCAGTCCTCCTGGGAAGGGGTGGCCCTGGAGTGGAGCAGGGCCCTCACCTCTGCCTTCGGTGCTCAGGACCCTGCCCAGCACCATGCCTGCTTTCCTCCTGCCAGGCGGAGCCGGGCATGGCCACAGTGCCAGGTGGCCAGACTCAAACAGGACCTCTCCCTGCCTGGTCCTGAGAGTGCCGGGACCCTGGGAGCCACAGAGGCCCCAGGAAGAGCCAGTCTGGGTGCCAGCTGGCCTCTGCCCTGGCTCTGCCCAGCCTTGCTGTGTGGCCCTGGGCAATCTTTCCAAGGACTTTGTAATCCCCAGGGTCTCACCTTCCAGGCCCACACCTCTGGTCCTGAGACCACCCCTGACCCACACATGTCCCTACTTCCCCAGACGCCGGCTGGCCGGGGACTCATTCCCAGGCCCAGCCTCAGGACATGTTCAGTCTGTTCACAACCTGGGACCTCATCCCAGATGAGCCCCTGGCCCGCGTGCTGTGCTGGACAAGCATTCCAGCCAGTTCTGAGGGGCCGTGGTGGTTTCCACGGGGGCCCCGCCACAGTGCCCACTGATACCTGCAGGCCTGGCAATGTGTCTGGACACCTGGTGCCCAACCCAGGCAGACATGGGGACAGGAAGCCCAAGCTGCCGCCTAGTCCCCACAAGACCTGTCCTGGAGGGGCCTTGACTTTGAGGCAGGACACCTGATGGGGTCCCAGCTCTGGCCCCAGTTTACTGTGTGGCCCCAGGCAGGTGTCTCACTCTTCCTGGGCCTTTGCACTGAACGAGGGGTGCAGAGGGGCCTTGTCTGCGGTGCCCGACCTCAGACATCTCTGGTATCCAGGGCTTGGTGGTGTGGGCTGTCCCAGACCCCAGCCCTAAGGTCGGAAGCTCCGTTGATGCATGACCTGGGGGGGCGAGGGGTCCTGTGGGTGGCAGGAGTCAGATTTTGCAGGTGGTAGGAGCTGGTTGTGAAGCTCCTAAACCCACAGAGTGTTGGTGCAGCAGCCAGCCGGCTGGGAAGGGGACTCTGTCTCTGCAGAGTGTGGCAGGCCGTGTGGGAAGGACATCTGAAGGGCCCTCTTTCCTTACCGTGGGGCTGGCATTGGCAGAGCGCCTTGTGTGTCTGTCCTTCTCAGGCCCCAGGGAGCGCGGGGCAGCAGTGTCCACCACACAAATGTGGGAACGGGAGCGTGACTCCCCCAGGTCTGTGTCCCAGGCTGGACAGACACGCTACTGAGAGGGTTTCAGGTCAGCCGCCCAGGCCCCCCAGGATAGGGGACCGTCCCTTAGGCTGCAGCAGGACACCCTTCCCTGTGCACACCTGGAAGACTCCGCTACTGGGCCACGTGGCACTGACTCGAGCATCCCTGCCCTTGGTCAGCTTGGCCCAGTGGATGCCCCAGCGTCCTGCCTGTCAGGCTGCCGTGCCTCCTGCTGGGGTCCAGGAGTGTCCCTGCAGAGGCCTGTCCCTCCTCCCCCTGAGCCACCTCCACACTCCTCTTCTTTCAGAGCGAGATCACCCAGGATGAGCACTGTGCCATCTGCAAGCGAGGGGCCAGCCTGCAGCCCTGTGGCACCTGCCCGGGGGCCTACCACCTCAGCTGCCTGGATCCGCCCCTCAAGACGGCACCCAAGGGCGTGTGGGTGTGCCCCAGGTGCCAGCAGAAGGTACAGGCGCACCCTCCGCCAGTGCCCTGGGTGGTTGGCGGTCGGCAGCGGCAGGGAGGGCAGAGGAGGGGCCTGGGTGTCGGGCCTTCTCAACCCTGGCACAGCTGGTACCTGGGGCCCCTGTTACAGGGTTTAATCCTGTGAATTGTGGGGTGTTAACAGCGACCTTGGCCTTGACCAGGGGGAGAGACCCAGAAGGTCCTGGCCCACGTGCAGCTTTTCTCCTTTCAACTTCTCTGAACCAGGCCAGTGTGGGCACTGTCCCCTGGTCACCCTGGGGAAGCTGGTCAGGTAGTGGGCATTCCCAGAGCCCCACAACCAGGGCTGGTCTGCCTTCTCATCTCTCCGTCTGCCCTCCAGGCCTTAAAGAAAGACGAGGGTGTGCCCTGGACCGGGATGCTGGCCATTGTGCACTCCTACGTCACCCACAAGACAGGTAGGTGGCCCTGGGGGGAGGGGCCTGCCTCCCCTCCCCCACGGAGGTGCTGGGTCCCCGTGGGACCTGGAGAGGCTGGGGTCCAGACTGTTCAGGGTCCGAGCTCTGAGGAGAGGGACCCTGGGGCATGCACCTGGGTCCCTGCATCAGTGCGGGGAGGGCAGGGCCTGCTTCTGCTCCTGGCCCAGCGGCCGCTGCCCTCTCCCTAGTGAAAGAAGAGGAGAAGCAGAAGCTGCTGCGGCGGGGCGGCGAGCTGCAGAGCGAGCGCCAGCAGCTGGAGGAGCGCGACCGGCAGCTGGCGTCAGCGGTGAAGGTGCGTGGGGGCAGGCGGTGCTGCCCGGGAGCCCGGGGAGAGCTGGGGCCTTACTGCCCCTTAGGAGCCCAGGAGAAGAGAGACCCTCACCCAGAGAGCCTGTAGGTGGAGGACGCGGCTCCCATGCATTCGATATATGATTGTCATGTCCTTGAGGACATCTGGCCCTGCCCCTTCTCAGCTCTTTGATCTTGGCCAGGTCCACCCTGCTCTGACCTCTGTTTCCTTCTGTGTGAACCCCTCCTTTAGGGGTGTGATGACAAGATGACGAAGACGGTGGTGGTGCTGAGCTTGGTGTGATTATTGGTGATCCTGGTGGTGATGGTGGTAGGGATGGTGGTGGTGGTAGTGATGGTGATGGTTGCGATGGTGGTGATGTCATGGTAATATGATGGTGATAACAGTGTGGTGGTGATTGGTGGTAATGGTACGTTGGTAGTGGTGCTGTTTGTGGTGGTAGTGATGATACTGTTATCGGAGGTTAGGGTTGGTATGATGGTGGCGATGATAGTATGATGGTATTGGTATGATGGTGGTGGTGGTGGTAAGGTATGATGATGGTTATGGTGTGGCTTTAGTGGTAATGGTATGTGATGTTGATGGTATGGTGGTGGTGGTGGTGGTAATGGTGGAGGTGATAGTGGTAATGGTATGGTATTGATATAATACCATTATATCAATGGTATTAGTAATGGTAGCAGTAATGGTATAATGTTGGTAGTGATGGTGGTGATGGTATGGTATTGGTATTATGGTGGTGGTGCTGCTGCTGGTAGTGGCAGTAATGGTGGAGGTGGTGCTGGTGGTGCTGGTGGTAGTGGTGATGGTGGTGGTGATGGTGGAGGTGATAGTGATAATGGTATGGTAGTGATGGTGGTAGTGGTAGTGGTAATGGTGTGATGTTGATAGTGTTGTTGGTGGTATGGTATTGGTATTATGGTAGTGGTGTTGGTGCTGGTGGTGCTGCTGGTAGTGGCAGTGATGGTGGAGGTGGTGCTGGTGGTGGTCATGGTGGTGGTCATGGTGGTGGTGATGGTGGTGGAGGTGATAGTGGTAATGGTATGGTAGTGATGGTGGTAGTGGTAGTGGTAGTGGTAATGGTGTGATGTTGATAGTGATGGTGGTGATGGTATGGTATTAGTATTATGGTAGTGGTGGTGTTGTTGGTGGTACTGGTGGTATTGGTGGTGATGGTGATACTGGTGGTGATGGTGGTGATGTTGATGGTGCTGGTGATGATGGTGATGGTGATAATGGTGGTAGTGTCGGTGATGGTGGTGGTGATGATGGTGGTGGTGGTGGTGGTGATGATGGTGATGGTGGTGATAATGGTGATAGTGATGGTGATGGTGATGATGGTGATGGTGGTGGTGGTGATAATGATGATGGTGATGATGGTGGTGGTAATAATGGTGATGGTGGTGATGGTGGTGATGGTATGGTATTGGTATTATGGTAATCGTGGTGGTGCTGGTGATACTGGTGGTGATGGTGGTGATGTTGATGGTGCTGGTGATAATGGTGGTGGTGGTGATAATGGTGGTGGTGGTGCTGGTGGTGGTGGTGGTGCTGGTGATGGTGATAATGGTGGTGGTGGTGGTGATAATGGTGATGGTGGTAGCGATGGTTATGATGATGGTGGTGATGGTGGTGGTGGTGATAATGATGATGGTGATGGTGGTGATGGTGATAATGGTGATGGTGGTGGTGCTGGTGGTGGTGATCGTGATAATGGTGATGGTGATGATGGTGGTGATGGTGGTGGTGGTGATGATGGTGATGGTGGTGGTAGTGATGATGGTATGATGGTGTTGTATCATGGTGGTGGCAGTGTGGTTGGCGGTGGTGGTGGTAGTAGCAGCAGCGATGGGGCCTAGAGAAGCTCTTTAAGTGCAGTGTCTCCCCAACCCTCTCAGTAGCTCCGCTGTTCCTAGCATGATGGGAAACAGGGTGTGGTTATTTACACCAGCAGCCTTTGGCCAGAGCAGAGGGACGTCCTCCTAGGCCTCATTCCCACTGCGGATGGCGTCGCCGTGGTGCACAGAGGCTAGGGAGGGCGGGGAGCTGGCTGGCTGGAAGGTCCCGTGCTGCATGTGCTCCTCCACCCCACGCTCTGCAAGCCCCTGGGGTCTGGCTGGGTCTTCTCTCTTTGTCCCTGCTGCCTGGCTGGCTCCTGCGAGGCCCTGTGCCTCTTTGTTCCAGGACTTTGCAGTGGAAGGGAGGGGCTTTGGGAGGGTGGCAGGGGCAGCCGCCAAAGGACGCCTGTGGAGGTCAGTTCTGAGACCCTCTCTCTGACCCCTCCCCCTAACAGAAGTGCTTGGAACTCAAGACCAGCCTGCTGGCCCGCCAGAGGGGCACCCAGTCATCGCTGGACCGCCTCCGGGCCCTCCTGAGACTGATACAGGGCGAGCAGAGGCTCCAGGTTGCCATGGCAGCCACCAGCCCCACCCCGCTGCTGGCCGGGCCCTGGACCAAGCCCCCAGCAGCCACCATGCGCTCCACCCTTCAGCACCCCCAGGGCCACAACTGACCCTAGGGACCTGCCTTCAGCCCATGGAAAGTCATTGGGACCCTGCTCACACGACCTGGGGGTTCTGTCGGCCTTAATTCATAAACACTGAATTTCAGACAAAAATAAAACCAGACAGAAAGACCACGGAGAGAAGGGAGAGCCAGGCCGGCATCCCAGAGCCGGAGGGGGTGAAGCGGAGTCCGCCCCTCGCCAGTGGGAGGGGACACCTGGAAACCAGGTGGGGGTGACGGACTGGGGCACAGCCCCCATCCTCAGCTGTCCTCAGCCATCCCTGGCTGCCCTGGCCTCCATCTTCCGGGCCCAGCCCTCTCTGTGACCTCATGCTGCCCCCTGGGAGAGGGAGGCACAGGCAGCCAGCACCCGGCCACGGAGGGTGGCACCCGGGCCTGTGGGGAGGACAGCGAGGTCGCAGTTAGCTGAGTAGTAGGTAGTTGGGTTGAGCCGTCCGGCGAGACGTGGTAGCAGATCTAGGTAGTTCTCCAGCGCCCGCAGGGCATGGCCGCGCTCCGTGCCTCTCCAGCACCCGGCCACGGCAGCTTCCTGTCAGTATTATTAGGTGAAGAGTTGCAGCTGTTGAACTTGAGACTGGGAGGGGCTTCCCCGGGGACCAGCACTGCCTGTGGCCCGTGGAACAAGCGCCTCGCCATCCCGCCGCCCCGTCTTGCCCACCGTCTGGACTCTTGCTACCGATGTATTTTTCTCATGGAGTTTTTGGGCGAGATGGGACGGAGCCATGCAGGGGGCGTTTGGCAGATCTGGGGTTTGGATCGAAGCCTCTCTCCTCCACCGTCCCGCCTTGCCAGTGCAGACACTATGCCAAAAATACCTTTACATTTCTGTGTGGCGCTCCTGTGGTGGGGTGTCTAGTGGGGCTCACTTCTCTCTCTGCACCTGGTAGTCTCTGCTTCCAGGTTCCAATGGGCGACCTCCCCTGGGAGGCCGGACTGGAGCCACCCAGAGGGGTTTTGAAGAACTGGGTGAAGGGTGTGGGGTGGAACAAGGGGCGGTGGCCCTGGGGGTTGGTCCCTGGAGACTGGAGAGCCCCTGCCTCCCGCTTCCCCTCGCTAGCAGAGAGCCCAGGGGCCCCAGCATCTCTCAAGGGCTCCCCGATCCGGGGCCTTGCCAGTCCCAGCGCCCACCAGCATCCCCAGCCTGAGGGACTCAGCACAACGGGCTCCGCCCAGCATATCACACAGTGCGCGGGCGCCGGCGGGGGCCACAGCCATGAGCCACGCGCAGACACAGGTGCAGAGCCCGGGCGGGCGGAACCCGCAGCCTGCCGCCACCCCTCCTGCCATTTTCACGACTCCGGGAGAAACTGTGCTGTACGATACAGATCTATTTTAATACACTCAACACTGGGTTGAACAAGATTTTTATATTCTTTTATTGATGAACAAAGTGAGCCGCGAGGCGCCCTCTATATTGGTTACCCTGCCGTCCCGCTCCGCGGCCGCGGTGTGAATGAGTGCGGGCTCCTCTTCCTTGGTTTGCTTTCCTCCTTCTTGGTTGGATTGGGTTTTTTAAAACCATCACGTGAGGACATGAGAGGTTGGACCGGGAGGGGTAGCTGCCCCCTGTCTTGAGACTTAGTGTTTTTTTGGACCAAGGAGCACCGTCCAGTGGGTAGTGAGGTAGAGATCAGTGCTTGTCGTCGTGTGCCTGTGTAGCTTCCCTCTGAACAGCGCATTAAACTCCATTGATGATTTCATCCCTGTGGTCTTGGTGTCCTTGCCTGGCACTGCCAGGTGGGCGTTGGAGAAGCCAAAAACCGGGGTGTTGCCCGCCAAGCTGGCCCCATCCCAGCCCTGCGGGCAGCAGGTGTCCCTGTTGGGCCAGGGCTGGAGGGGAAAGTTACAGGGACCTTCGGCCATTGTGGAGCCCGGGGCTCCTCTCTGCCCGGCTGCTGCTGCCCAGCTCCTTCCCACTGCTCAGGGCACAGAGGCCCCCACCGCTGGCCTGGAACCTACTTGTGGCCTTGGAGCCATCCGCCAAATGAAGTTAGACCCCTAGTCCAAGCTCCGGGCACTGGGCAGAGCCTCGGAATGGCCCTGGGGGTCAGGGGCCATGCCTGGTCAGCAGCTGTGACCCAGAGGGTGGGTCAAATGCCAAAGCAACCACCTGTAGGAGCCCCGAGAATAGGGGCACCCAAGAGGCAGGGCTGGGCGCCCCCAGGGCAGGGTCCACTGCAGGCCTGCTGCACGGCATGAGCTCAGGGTGGCTCTGCTGCCCACCCACTGCACAATCCCCTCCCGTCACCGCAGACAGTCCCCACGCTCTGCCCCAGGCTGCCTTGAGACGCCCATCCCCTGGGGGTCACTGGGCCAGCCACACTCAGAGTCTCCAGTTCACTCCCCTTCTGGATCCTTGCCAGGCAGCCCCCACCGTCTCTTGCTCCCTGGAACTGCCCAGCTCAGGCCAGGAGTGGCACCTATGGCCAGATCCACTGGGCACCCTGGTTGACAGTACCTACTCTCAAAGGAGCACCCAGGGCCCAGTCCCCCTGCTGGCTGCCCCTCCATCTCTGCTCCAGGCTCTTCCTGCTGATCACCAAACGCTGGAGCTCCCAGGCCAGCACGGCCTCTGCTCTCCTGGACTCCGTGGACGACCTCCGCTTCCTGGCTAGCCGTTCTGTCTGCTGGGGCCACCAAGGGCCAGCCCCCTTCCCACCTCGGGGGACTACAGGCCCCTGACCGTGGGCCAGCACTGGGGAGTCACCCTCGCCCTCCCTCACCTCCACGCCGGCCATGGGCAAATCCCTCGGTTCTGCTGTCGGAGTATAAGGAGACGGGACGTGTCCCACACAGCTCCAGAATCACCTTGACCTCATCGGCTGCTTTCCTGCAGTCCCTGCCCTCCCTGTCCCCCACCCCAGTGGGTGGTCTCAGCCCACAGTGATGGCAGCTGGTAAAGCCAGCTGCTCCCATCTCAGCGACAGCTGAAGCCCCTGCTTCCCTTCCCTTACTGTGGCTCCAGGGCCCACACCCACACCCACTGGCCTCCAGCCTCCTTACTCTGCCTCGAACCACTCAGCAGGGTCCCAACACAGGGCCTTTGCACCTGCTGGGCCCTGGGCCCCTCATGTTCTTCCCCAGCTGCCTTCCTCATTGGCTCCCTGACCTGCTTTAAGACATGGCCTTGACCACTGTCCCCTCCAGGTACAGCTTCCCCAGCGCCCCCAGTGAGTCGCCTGCAAGCCTGTCCTGTCCTGTTATCGGAGTCTCAGACTGTACCGCCTACTCCATGCCTGTGTCTGTCTGCGTCACGGGGCAGGGGTCTGGCAGAGCTCCCCGAATCCCAGCATCTGAGGGCACGTGGCTGGCCTTGGCATAAACGTCTGTAGGCCGTCCCCAAGAGTCCTGTGGGCCAGCCCAGTGGCCAGGCGAGGCTGGACAGGTGGGAGAAAGCGAGGCAGGAAGGTGAGGGACCCGCCTGGGACCTGCGGGGGCGGGGGTGTGCCAGCTCCACCTGGTGCTTGTCCTCAAAGCCCCTGCAGTTCCACCCCAGCCGGCCTCACGCCCGCTCCAGGGCAGCGCCTGCAGCCTCCCACCCCAGCCACACCAGGAGCACCTCCCAAGTGGCCTCCCGCCAAGAGCCAGCTCCCTCCACTGGGCAGCACTGCCCCCTCAGCCTCGTGCCCAGGTGACCTGTGCCAGGACCCTAGGTTGCCCATTCCCCTGTCGCGCCTGACCAGCTCTACGGAGCAGCCAGGGAGGAGGGTTGCCCAGGCAGGCCAGTGGGGTGGCCTCCCCACGGGTGTCCTGTTCCCAGGACTGCAGCAGCGGGACGCACCTGTCCCCGAAGGGTCTGACCACCGCGACACAGTTCGAGTTTCCTGGGGCTTCGAAGCAAGGCACACAGACTGGGCGGCCTGACAGATGCTGCCCCCCAGACCTGGAGGTGGAGTCCAGGCCAGGGGTCAGCAGGCCGGTCCCTCCTGTGAGGACATTGTCACATTAGAGTAGGGCCACCCCAGGGTCTCTAATAAGCCATCTTGGAAAGACCCTGAGTGGGCACGTGCACAGATCCCGGGGATCAGGGCGCCATCATTGTCACAGGACTCCAGGTTGGCAAGTGGCAACACTGAGAGCAGATGTCCCCCGTCCTGTGTGACTAACCCGATGGGGCCGGGCGCGGAGCCACCTGTGATCCCAGCAGCTCAGGAGGCTGAGGCAGGAGGTGAGTTTGAGGCCCTAAGCAATGAAGTGAGACCCCATGTCTGAATAAAAACAAATTTTTTTTTAAATGGCTGGGGCTGTGCTCAGTGGCAGATCCCCCCCGGGTTCAATCCCTGGTACGAAAAAAGAAAAAACAAAAGGCCACACGAGGGTGATGGGATCAGGGCCTGACCAGGATGCTCGGCCTTCCACGTCCTTCCCCCGTCCAGTGCTTCTCCCTCTGGAGGAAGCGCTTTGGATCCGGGTGGCTTCCAAGCCTGCAGTTTCCCGACCTTGAACTTCAGACAGTGAGAGTGACAGCAGTCTCTGTCCTTTACCAGTTCCTTCAGGGACGCAAGGCAGCACAGGGACCAAGGCAAACCCATCCACCCCTTTCCTGGGTGCCCTGGAGTCCACTGCTCACGGCTTCCACCCGGGAACGTCCCTGAGATGCCCCATGTGCCTCCTCTGTCCCACAGCCTGCAGCGGGGAGAGACCTTGGTGTCATCTTGCTGAACCGCCTGTCCCCCTGTGTGCACCCCGAGTCCTTCCTCAGAGCTGCCCTGGAGCGACTCAGTTCCTCACAGGGAATTGAAGCTCAGAGACCTCAGGAAACACACCACGGCCACACAGCAGGAGGTGAATGTGAGCCAGGCGGTGGCTCTGGTGGCTCTGGGCCCCTGCTCCTATGGAGGACTGAGGCCCTGGGTGTCTGGGGAAGGAAGGGAAGGGGCCGGCCCGCTAGGCCCACTACCTGGCACCAGCGGCTGCGTTCGTAGACCACAGCTGCCTCACACAGCAGAAGGGCAGGGCCACCGGGGAACAGGGCGCCAATCCCATCCTCCCTGTGACCTTCCACCACTGAGGCGCATTCGCAGGACACAGTGAGACCACAGCCCTGGGAAGGGCACAGCTCGCTGCGGGTCAGGGGTGCCTGGACCTGAGCTCCGCCTCACCCACCGAGGAGCCCAGGCCCGGCC